GGAAAATGCCCTTACTACAAGTTATCTTTAAGAGTAGCTCAAGAATAAGCTTGGAAAGAAATTTGGCGCTGTTCCGTTCAGTAGTTAGGGTAATACGGTACTTAACTTCAAAGTCCTTTTTTTAAATGTTTTGACTCACCTGTAAATACGGTTAAAGATAATTAATTTTTTTTTGCACAAAATGATCGGGGTGATTAGACCTTTAAATCGATGTATAATACAACAACTCATGTTTACATTTGAAAATTTCTCAAAAAGCACACCTAACCCCCCAATTTGGGCTCTTTTGAGACATTTTTCAAAATTGAAAATAATTTTATTGGATTTGGCATGGCAAAATTAGGGGGAAATGAGAACAAACAAGTGTTAAAAGCTTTACCTTTGCACAGAACAGATATGGAAAGTTGTCAAATGAACACCCTGTATCTAAATATATAAAAGGCAAAGCCCTCACTGACTGACTCACTCACTCACTCATCACTAATTTTCCCACTTCCCATTTACCTAGGAGGCTGAAATTCGGTACACTGATTCTTTGGGCATTAAATAGGAAAACTAAGTAGGTAGTTTTTATTCTGATCGGGCTTTCGGGCTCCGCCCCAGTGGCTCTGGAGTTTCCCATGTTAACCTTATGAGTACTCATATTTAAATGGAATTAAAGAATCTTAACAGCTGGTGCAACTGAACAATTATTTGATTCTGTTCTATGATGTTCAATAGCATTAAAGTTACAAGGATTACCAACAGGGGGCAGCACTATTATTTTTTTAAATTTATGACTATAGCCAATTTGCAACCAAAAGGTGAGTGAGCGTAGCGAACAAACTTCAACCTGGAAGTGAGTTAGCGTAGCGAACGAGCTCCAACCTAAAGGTGAGTTAGCGTAGCAAACGAACTTCAACCAGGACGTGATTGAGCCATGCGAACGAGCTCATCTTAAAAGTTAAGAAGTTAAACGGGGCAAAGCCCGTGGGGTACAGCTAGTTATAAATATACATACAGGGTGATTGATATAAGTGTGCCAGCCGTTTGATTCGAAAACCATAAGAGATATCAAAAAAAGTTAAATGGTAAGTGCCTTGGACTTTTTATTCAAAAAATTGTAGTTAAGTCAAAAAAATTATTTTAGCAGCAATTTTTGCAATATGGCCGCCAACTTTGATTTTTCTTATGGAACATCCTGTATTTTATGATGTATTCTGGTAGAAAATGTAATTTTAAGACAATTTTATTCTTGTGATTTTTTTCATCGACCTAACCGTTTCAAAGATAATAATGGTTTAAGTTGTGAAATTTTGAATGGTTTTCGAATAAAACAGCTGGCATGCTTGCTTAGGCCTTTATCGAAACTCTTTCTCATGCAGAAATTTCAAAACTTTAACCATTATTATCTTTGAAACGGTTAGGCCGGGGCCACACTTACAATTTTTAACCAGCGAGACTTTTTTCCGTTTTCACGTGCGACGCACGTGAAACAGTTTGACCGTGGCCACACTCGTCTTACGAGATAGGTTTTTCGGGCAAACCAGTGAGACTGATAGAGCATGCCACACTAGCAATATAAAATCGTCCGTGTCCGTGTTCCGCCTCCCCCCCTCCGCGCTCACTGTACAGGTTAAAACTAGAAACGTCCGTGGAAAAAATTCAGCGAGATAAGATGAGTGTGTTCACTTCCATAAGCCGCAATGCCCCGCGACTAGTTTTACGTGCAACGCCCGTGGAATGTTAGTAGAGAATACCCGTGCAATTCCGTTTGTCAGTCTCGCTGGTAAAACCAGCGAGACTGACAAACGCGTTCACGGACGTTTTTACTCTAGTGTGGCCTGCCCCATATACCGTAATGCATCTCTCAAACCCACGGGTAACGTCCGTAGAAAAAATTCAGCGAGATAAGACGAGTGTGGCCCCGGCCTTAGGTTTATGAAAAAAATCACAAGAATAAAATTGTCTTAAAATTACATTTTCTACCATAAAATACAGGGTGTTCTATAAGAAAAATCAAAGTTGGCGGCCATGTTGGAAAAATGGCGGCTAAAATAATTTTTTTGACTTGACTACAATTTTTTTAATAAAAAATCCAATGCACTCACCATTTAACTTTTTTTGATATCTCTTATAGTTTTTCGAATAAAACTGCTGGCACACTTATATCAATCACCCTGTATAGCTATGAAATATATTTAGGACTTATGAAATAATGGATAGTTTTGCGCAAGGTTTCTCGTCATGACGAACATTTTAAGAATATGGTTTATGGGGGTGTGACTTGTAGTTTTCTCAAAAGTTCACGGGTACTTTGGGATTTATAATATGGATTATAATTTTTAAAGTACTTTTTTTTGTCGGTACGCCACGACTTCCTTAATTCTTCACCAATTTTCATAAATGAGGGGTCACTTTAAAGCTCCTTTTGCCCACTACATCAGGGAAGTATACAAATCACTCATTTTTAGTATTTTTTTTCTTAAAAACAATCTATTATATTATTCTGTAAATTTACGTTATTCTATCAGCTGAAACATGTGAATTAAGTTAATCATAACAAACGAATATTTATTTATCAAATCTGAGTGTCAATAAATCTCAAACAAACAAACTTACTCTGTGCTTTCTACTATAAATAACACAGAGGAGATTAAAACAGACTAGGTGAAACCCGTCGAAATCGACGGTTGGGGGCCTCCTCGTTATGGTCGTGTGGCTTCATTGGCAACAAATAATGCAAATCAAATAGCAATATGGCATTTCCAAAGAGAAAAACATACTGTAAATTGGCTGTTACGTAAATATTTACGTTTACATGCATTGTTAATCAACGTATCTTATAAAGGATGATGTGATCTAGTTTAAAAGGAATATGACCTTTCTGTCATGACAGTAGCTGCTTAAATAGTATTTACTCTTCCAGCCAAAATATCGTGTTACTTTCAATGATGTTACCAACCCAGTGGGCCACGGTCCGTAATATAGGCCACTACAAATAATGTGTCAAGATAGGTACCATTTTAGGCAAGGTTTTTGTGTTTGGATGTTATTAGACACGATAAGAGCACACTTGAACTTCTTCTGCAGATGAATAACTGTTGGAGAAATATAAGCTGATTCATAAATTAATGTCACAATGCGAGTTTGAGCATTTTGTAATTATATGAGAAAGTTACATAGTATTTTTTAGACTGCTGCTCAGTGCACTTTAAGAATATGTTTTTTAGAGATAAATTAAATTATTTTTGTTGCTGAGTAGCGCTAGTAAACATGCACGCACAATGCCTTTTCGTTGGCCCAATAACATTCAAAGGCTCTCTAAGAGTTAAAGAAAATAACATTGCAAATACTTCCTTTGGACAATTCAGTAACTCTCAATAAATGTGTTTTGTTTAAAATACTATTTAAAAATAAACAGCTGTTTAATTAAATAGTTATTTGTGCAACTAGTGAGAAAAGTGAGCAATTGACTCACTCGAGAGAAATCCTTACTCACGTGAGGAATGGTTTCTCGAGTGAGGCAATTGTATTTTGAACTCGAGTTGCACATTATACTTTTCCTACAGTTACCATAAAACCATAATTTGTTACCATAATTTATGAAGAAACATAACCTATTTTTGCACAGAAGTGAACTTTTAATATAACATTTAATGTGAAGTGACAAATACAACAGTACAACAGCTGACCAGCTGATTTACAGCCAGTGCTGCCAACGTATTTCGCGCGCATACGACGTTGCCTGCATGTTACGTGCTCACTATTTCGTGCCTTCACGTTGCAAATCTGGAGTGAGACAAAGTAATTAGAGTGAGACAATGTTAACATTGTCTTACTGATGAGCGAATTGGCCACTTTGCTTTCTCAAATCAGTGAGAGAACATGTACATTGTTAGGTAACTGTAGGAAAAAGTATTATCCACATGGCCAAAATGTAAACAAATCTGTGGAGGTATCTTTTAAAGGCTTCTGGGGCAGAGCCCTAAGGGAATTTACTTCGTTTTTCTTTTGATAACTTATCTACAGACCAAGACATTTCTTTGGACACCTCTACCAAGTTTCTACGCCCAGTCGTTCTCTTAAATTAGTGGAGACAAAGTTTCCAATTAAATATTTAGATTCCCTCATGTTAATCTTATGGGAGAAAACCCAACTTTGATGGGAGACCAGCCCAAACTAATAAAGATTCCCAAAAAATAAAAACACTTTGCATAACTACAGATCAGGGCCATTCTTTTGACACTTTAATAATCAAAATCGGTCCAAAAATGAGGGAGGAGTTATGTTTACAAAAATCGGCTTAGCGTACTATATATATAGATAGATTATTCACTTTAAAGAAGTCTATACAAGAACAACTCAATAGTAAGTACCATGGGTTCTTTAGCTTTTATATTTCTTTATTTACAATATGAGTGTAGGAGTTTTGCCAACGGGTATCAGGTAGAAAGGGTCCCCATCCATGAATTCCACATACTGCGGAGTTTTGCCAACGGTTGTGGGTTGCGCGAGAGGGGGAGGGGGAGAGAGAGAGATTACACGTGACCGTGAGGGTGGCTTCCGCTAGGGGTGGACAAACCAGGCAGGATGCTGACTGTGTTCAAAGTAATGAAGTTATGCAACTCTTACTGTGGAAAGAAATGTATTGAATTTTTAACCTAACCTAACTTAACCTAACCTAACCCACTGCGACTAGCGCATAACTGTCAAGCGTAGACAACCCTGACAATCGCTCTTCCTCCCTCCCTCACAATCTTTCTCCCACCACCACCGTTGGCAGATTTCCGCACCAAGAGGTGGCCGAAGGCATGCCCCCATCTACCTGACACCCGTTGGCAAAACTCCGGTTCCCTTACAATATAGCCTTAATTTTGACATAGGTACTAACCATTTGATATACAGGGTTAGTAAAAAGTCTGGAGACCCCCCTGTTAATTTTTTAACAGCCCATACTAGAAAAACTAAACTAAACTATAATAGTGGGAACGGTTAAAGCGAAAAAATCCAACAAATGATATACTTTAAAAATAATTTTATTTTACAAACATATAAGTTGCTATCTAAAAAGTAATAAGACTACAATCTGCTAGATAAAGCACCTCATAAAGTGATTATTGTCACTAAAGTTTATTAGTTATTTTGACACCATGTTGTACATACAACTATTTCCCTATAAAAGATAAAAACTTAATAATACTGAGGATTAAAACCTACAGACTAAATAAATATAATTGTGATGTTTTGATTTTGTTAGCAAATTTATTTCAATACAAAATACCACATTTTGCTAGTGTGCCACTATAGTTATTAATTTGTGTAACTAGTGCGTGAAGTGACACTTTGCTGCACATGAGAAAAATGTTTACTAATGGAAAGTTTCTCGAGTGCAGCAAAGGTTACACATTATTTATTTTTCCTACAGTTACTATAAAGCATATAAATAATTAGTCTTTAGAACACTAAACAACACGTTTTAGGTTATGTTAAATACAAGCGAATGAAAATATAATATTATACACAAAGCAACAGCAGGTTAAGCTGTAGTATCAATATAGTATCTTTAAGTGTTACCAACTTATTTTCAAGCGTACTTTAAGTGTTACCAACTTATTTTCAAGCGTACACATATCAAATGCCTTATAAAAGCTCACTGTTTTGAGTGTTTTTTTTTTTTTTTTTTTTTTATACTGTAGTATGCCAAAGTAAAATGAGTGCGGCAAAAGTAAGTAAATGCAGCAATTTAGCTTCTTTGCATGCTTGAAAGACTGCAAGGAAGCCTGCTTTGTCAGATAACTGTAGGAAAAACACATTTTACTAACTGTTTCCACTATCTCCTCTCTCTATACAGTGATATAATAACAAATAAAAATAACCTTAATCAAAGGAACTAATGAACAAGAAAACAACAAAGAAAACTATTTAGTAACAGTATTCACCTATAAAAATATAGAAGTTGATGTAGGTAAATTGTCCAAATAAACTAAAAGCCATCTATTCTTACAGGATTAGAAACTCGTGAAGTCTTTGGTAAGATTTAACAACACATTTAAAATAAATAAGAAAAAGCAAGTTATGACAATTATCCAGTCTGTTACCAAACACTGAAATACATTGTTGCTATTCACAATTGTTGGGATATGTTTTTAAAACAAATTTATACTGTGCGTTTTTAAACAAAAGTCCAATATTTAAAAAAATGTGATTTAGATCTAGCTTTAAATGATGGTGCATTCATAGAAAATTGGATGCACTTGAGAGTGTTGCCAAAGCTAAATTTGATAATGTATAAGACTGTATTTGAACATATATATTTTTTGTTTAAACTCAAGGTCAACAAACCACATGAATCGTTCTTCTCCTCAGCATGGTAAAAAATAATATATCTCAACCTTACATACAGACCCTAACTTTAATATTATCTGTATTATATATTTAGGAATTTGTACTATAGCTATTTATGAATTATAGTTAATTGTTTAACTACTAGAATACTGTATGTTTTGTCTAGTTTTTGTCTAGGTGTGCTTCTCTTAAAAAAAAAATAGTACATAGAGTAGGCCTACCTACTAATCTAAATACAACATAAGTGTTTATCTTTGTGGGCTTTGCAAAGGAATACAGAAATTCTTATGTTATTCGGCAAATGCAGTTACTTCTATTGTTCACTTTTAGCAAATTTCCCATATAGGAAATAAGTTATTACCAGGTCTCGGTAAAACCTGGACCAAGGACCGATTTTTTTTGAGGTCCCCAGAAGCCAAAAACACCATCCGTTCAAATTCATATATCGTACCACAGGAAAAGTAAATAATACTGTGATGATCACCAGCCCACCTCACTATTGATATTGGGGGCTCTCATCATCAATCTTAAATCAAATTCAAATTATACGAATTACTTTTTTTAATTTTTATTTTGAGCAAGGGAATTACATCTGACAACGTTAGTGTAAAACTGCTTTTGAGGTTAGGTCTTGTTTTTTAAGCCATTACCTAGGTCTCACGGTAAGACCTGGACCCGGAACCGATTTACTTTTTTGTTTTGATGTCCCCGTTTTGATGTGCATCCGTTCAAATTCATATATATATATATATGTGTGTGTCCAAAGTTAATAGTTTTACCAACAGGGTGCAGCACTATTATTTTTTTTTAATTTATGACAACAGCTAATTTGCAACCAAAAGGTGGCAAATGGAAATTTGCTTAGTCCGCACTGCAGGTTTTCTGAGGCGAGGTTATTAACATTAACTATTTTGAGTCATAACTTTCACCTTGATTGATAACAATTGTGTTATGAGTATCAGTCTATGAACAAAACTTGCTAGAATATCAACTATCTTGGCAACACTATTTTGATATCATATTCATGAAAAAATATTATTTGAAAAATATCCTATACCGTAAATTGGCTTTATGTTTAAGTGTGATGGACCAACAGGTTCACTAAATATATATTACAGTTCCTCTTGTTTCCTCATACCTCAAGCTATGTACAAGTATTCACAATGGAGTTCGACTACGTATGTTCACGCGTGTGACGCACCAAGAGCTGCCCCATCCTCTTCCATCTGCTTCAACTTTCGGATTACTTGGGCATGTTCTTCCAGAAGTCTCGCAAACTCCACTTTTCGACTTTCAGCTTCCACCTAAGCAATAGAATGAAAAATCACATCATATAGGTACTACTGTTATAGGTTAAGGATGTAAAATGTAGGTTTTAAGGAATTTTGTTTGGGTATCAGGATCAGGATTACCCGAATTAAAAAGAGACAACACTATCAACACGAGAAACAAAAAAAACTTTACATATATTAATTTGAAACTGTTTTTCTTTGTGACAGCTAATTTGAGAGAACGTCTGGGCGTAGAAACTCAGTAGGGGTCTCTTAAGAAAAATCTTGATCTGTAGATGAGCCATCAAAAGAGAAACGTGGTAAATTCCCTTGGGGGTCTGCCCTAGAGGCCTTTAAAGTTCCCTCAGCAGATTTGTTTATAATATGAACATATGTATAATTTTACACTACTTTTAATGAACCAGCTGTTAATTTTAAAATTGTATTTCAAAGGTCAAGTGTTATGAGCATTTACTGAAACTGTCAAAATTAAATGTTTACATTATTATTTATGATTTAAATAGTTATTTGTGCAACTAGTGAGAAAAGTGAGCAATTGACTCACTCAAGAGAAATCCTTACTCACGAGCCGTAGGCGAGTGAGGAATGGTTTCTCGAGTGAGGCAATTGTACTTTGAACACGAGTTGCACATTATACTTTTCCTACAGTTACCATAAAACAAATAAATTTGTGAAGAAACATAACCTATTTTTACACAGAAGTGAACTTTTAATATAACATTTAATGTGAAGTGACAAATACAACAGTACAACAGCTGACCAGCTGATTTACAGCCAGTGCTGCCAACGTATTTCGCATGTTACGCGCTCACTATTTGTGCCTTCACGTTGCAAATCTGGAGTGAGACAAAGTAATTAGAGTGAGACAATGTTAACATTGTCTCACTGATGAGCGAATTGGCCACTTTGCTTTCTCAAATCAGTGTGAGAACATGTACATTGTTAGGTAACTGTAGGAAAAATTTATTCTTCACTGCATCGCAAGCTTTTTATAGTTTGAACTTGATGATTTTATGATGTTTTAAATTTTTTGTTCAAAAATCTATGCTTTTAAGCATTAAACACTTATTATAAAATCAGTTGGATATTTATCAATTTCAAAGGAACAGATTTAACAATTCCTTATCGGGTTAGATTATATTTATTGTAGGGGTTTGCACTTGCTTTTTTGGTCTACTTTCAATAATCATTTGTAGATGAGCACGTTGAGGATGTGAGCTGTGTTCCAAGTTTTGGAATAGATTATGCACGGAGTAGGTTTAATCTATGGTTTGGTGCAGTAGGTGAATTAATGGCAGTTCATGTTTTAAAAAAAGCGGGGAAGGGTTTTTACTTTGATGTACAATTGTACATATCTAGCTAGATCGAACAATGCATATAAACCTCACTACATAAAAACATTCGGAAATACAACAGTGCCTTTACATCTCATCTCATTTGCATAATTTGTTGCCAACCAAACCGGACTAGGACTAGGTTATGGATGTGGTTCAGCAAATGTTTAAGATTTGTGGTCAAATTCACTTCAATTATGGTCCATCCCATCCTTAAAATGCACAACTTTATGTGATTGATACGGCCAAGGCAAAACTACGCCAGAAGTTAATCATAGGTAGCAAATAAGTACAGATGATTAAAAACACAGATGATTACATTGGTTGATGTGGCAGGAGAAGGAATTAAAATTGCTTGGATCGAAGTAAGAATGTTTATGCCTTCTGGAGAATCAGATATTTTTATCAAATACAAAAAACTGATTTAATATGCTGATAAAATTCTGCATTTTATGACTAAAGATGGTGATTCACTTATGCAATCCAAATACGGTCTGAATGATTTTCCTAAAGCAGATGTAACCAGTTTAGTAATACTGTATAGACTCTTCCCGTAAGATGACAGACCAATGAAATCCTTTTCCCATATAGTAAAAGTGGCTTTAACATGAACAAAACTCATGAACAAGATACAATTATAAGACTCATAAAAAACCTTTTGGGCAACCTAAAGCCAACCACGTTTTTGAAGGTAGCTACACAATCTCATATTCATTATTAATGCTCATCCTCCCTTAATCTAACTAAAATTTTCACTCTATCATCGCAGTTAGCTAAAGTTACATAAAACCTCAAGAGTAACCGTCGATACGACGGGTTTCCCCTACTACCCCTATATTATAAGAATTGTTTTTGTGTTTCTTGTGTCAGATTGATATCTTTCCCAATCAAGTAAACCTGCCATACCAATAAAAACCCTTACTACATTATTACATTCATCAATTAATACTTAATAAACTAATACTAAAAGCTATAAATTCAGTCTTTTGCTGTCTTTTTTAAATTTTTGGTGTGGACAAAAATATAGGTGTACAGAGTTGTACACTAACAAAAATATATATACTTTGTATTTGTAGATTAATTGGATATAGAAATTATATTGTAATTACTGATTCAAAGTAGATCAGTTTATGTTAAAAATTAGTTATTGACCAAGAAGTAACTCAAAAGGTGTAAATTTATATACATAGGTAATTAATCTATTTATTTCATTACTTAATGTGATTCTTTGCGTCAAAATTGTGGGAGTCTTGAAAAGTCCTATACAGATGGGAGATGGTTCAAAATAAAGAATTAAGGTCTCTACTCTGTGACGGGGGGAAAAAGTAGAATTCCGAAAATGCTATCAAAAAAGAGATATAATGTGACCCATAAGAATAACATTGGAGGTCATAAACATCTGGTTTTTGTTTGCTTTAATCCTTTAATACAGGTGGTCGAGCCTTTTGTTCAAGCCAGTACTCAATATTAACATTTGGGTTACTTATTTGCCAGTTAACTCTGTAATATAACGTTATCTCTAGTTGAGACTTTTTACTATGTCTAGAATGTTGAAATCAATTATTTTACTGTGCCATTTGCAAATTTATGTATTTTTATGTAAATTTGTTAAGCATCAGATAAGTAGCAGAATCTAGAATCTGTTTTGTTTTTAGCAAATTTTAGCGAATAGGGAACTAGCTATTACCGTATGTGGGTGGCACGGTAGGACTGATTTCCTTTAAAAACACCATTCGTTCAAAATTGTTTATATGTATAATATATATATATATTTAAATATATATAGAGAGAGAGAGAGAGAGAGAGAGAGAGTCTTAAATATATATAGAGAGTTATATACGTGTTTGAGAACACGATAACCTGGGTAATTTTTGTCCAATTTTGATGAAATCTATCTATCTATATATTAATAGGCAAGCATGTTTCTTTAAAACCTTTTTTCTCAGCTCGTGTGCATCGCAGGGAAAATCTACGCATACTGTTGGAAAGATATTTTCCTGTAGATGTGCAGAATACTTTTAAAAATTAAAATAGGCTAACAAATAAGAACAAAAAATGAATTTGAAAACTTCAAAAAATTAACATGGACCATATGGGTTGCCATGATGGCGACGAAATAACAACAAAATGTAAACAGAAAATCAAAACAAATGGAAGAAATTACAATCACATGTTTTATTTACAGTGTGGGGAGAAAATAGAGAAGTCTGTACTTTAATTATTTTTGGTCGAGTTTCGACCACAGGACGACCACTAGTACTTATTTAATACGCAAGCAGGTTTTTTGTGACAATTACTCCTCCGAAACTACCGAACCGATTGACATGTTTTTGGTGTCATTGGAAAGAGCTTAACGTGAAGTTGTGCAGGAAACTTTCTTTTTTGGGAAATAATTAGAGAGTGGGGCCCTGGGGTCCTTTAAAGTTTCGTATTTATCCATAAGATTAACATGGGAAACAAAATTTGTTATGGAACTCCAGCTGTTGTCAGAAAAGTGAAATATTTATTGATGGTATCCATGGTAACAAAGAACAAACCCACAAAATTAAAAAAAATGTAAACAAGCAGAACTAATTTTTTGTCAAATTTATTTTGATTTCACAATTCCACACAGCTGGTCCAAACATATTAAATACTGCATGATTATTAGAACAGGAACGGTATGGATCATAAATATAAATAAAATATGTCACTCGCCTGAATGTAAACATTTAAAATTGATTAAATGGAACTGTCAAACTATATGTTATTAGCATGGGATTCTTTCAGTTACGTCATTTGTTGACCGAGTCTGTTCCAATATTTTTGAGCTGCTGTAATAATATTTTACAGGAAATAATTATTAGATAAATTCATGGATATAAGTAATAATTCAGATTCTTCAATCATTGCTGTTATTAAAACTGTGTATCCACAGCAAAGCTTTAGACTAAGCGAATTCCCATTTACCTGGCTTAATTCTAGAATGATATTCCCTGAAAATGGTCATTTTTTGTCCTATTTAAATAACATTAAGTTAATTTTAATATGAGTACTTAGGTTTGCTGCTACAGGGAAGGTAGGTGTGTTTTTGTTGAAATGTTGATAGCTTAGTATGATTGTTATTGGTTTGAAAATCCTGTAATACTTTACAATTGCTCGAATTCGAGCAAAATGTACACTAGTACTTATTTAATACGCAAGCAGGTTTTTTGTGACAATTACTCCTCCGAAACTACTGAACCGATTGACATGTTTTTGGTGTCATTGGAAAGAGCGTAACGTGAAGTGGTGCAGGAAACTTTTTTTATAGGGAAATAATTAGAGAGTGAGGTCCTGGGGCCCTTTAAAGTTTTGTATTTCTCCATAAGATTAACATGGGAAACAAACATTGTTATGGAACTCCAGCTGTTGTCAGAAATGCTGTTCTGCTATTTAATTTGATTTGTTTACAAGGAGAATTGTTTCTTAGTGCCATGTGGTCAATAAGTTATACTTTTGCATATATTTTAAATGATATACACTGTATAAAATGATGGTACTGTATTACATTAAGAGATATTCATTTAAATAATCAATAAGTACGATTGAGCCTTTGCCTATATGTTTCCTGGTAAGTATAGTATCTTAAAGAAAAACCAAATGATTCTTTTCTGCATTCTCACCCCGTAGCGAAGCACGGGCAGAGCAACTAGTTTG